TGGGAAAAGGTGCACGAACCATCTTTCTGCACAGATGTAACTAAGCTGAAGCCTCTGCATGTTCATAACAGAGGTGCTTACCAGGATCTGAGCATGGAGTCTTTGGTCCTCTGAGGTCAAAATGTCACCAAGCAGACGCTTGTGCAGGCCTAGAAGGAGGGTCGCTGCTTCTCACCAGTCTTAACAAGTTCACCTCAAACTAGACACAGCTGACTCTGGGCCCAGCTGAACTACGTGAAGTTTCCTGGAAAATAACTCAGGCAAACATCTTATTTAGGCTATGTGCCCCTTGGAGGCAAGTCTTAAAACAACCTTAATTAGTGAAGGCAGGTGCAATGGATTTGACTAATCATTACCCACAGTTCCAAACCACCACCTAAAGGATCTCACCTGAGTTCCCTCAAGTATCTGACAAGTCTTGTCAGATGAAGGAAGGTCTGTGCCTGCCCTTTATGCGCAGAGGTGTTTTACAGAAAGACCCACATCACCCCCTAGTGGTCAAAGGGGCACATTTCTCACATGCCCTCTGGTCTCTCAGCGCCTGCACCCCCTTCGTGGTGAGTGGGGAGATGCTGGTTCCACACCGCAAAGCCAGGGCCACCAAGTATCAGAGCAGAACAAGGAAACACGCGGCCATCGATGTGGTGACCTGCTGGGGTACTGCAGAGATTTACTAGTACTTAGTTGCGCAAGTAGTCACTAATCCCATTGATTGGTGTTGTTGATCAGTATAATTAACCTTAACCTCTTGCAGCCACATTCAAGGTGAGTGGGTTCCTCAGGTCTCTGTCCTAAGTTCTCTGCTCTTTTCTTTGTATATTCTATCATCAAGGGATCATATACACTTTCATTCTTCCAATTATGGAAATTGTCCTGAATTTTTACCTTCATCCAGGTCCTTTTTTTTGAGTCCCTGACTTATACATACAACTGCTTTCTGCATATTTCTGGTCAGATTTCTGTCTCAGAGGCACCCCAAATGTGAAGTGAATCATGACCTTCTTTCCACTGGGTCCTCCTAACCATCTGGCTGGTGGTCACAACCATCCCCCCTATATATTGCCTCTTGTGTCTAATCAATTACCCCATCCTTTGATTTTATTTCCTAATTATGTGTTAAATCTCTCATTTCCCCGTATTTTAGCACCACCATCATTGTCCTATAGCTTCATTATCGCCTGGCTGGGCAATGGCATTGGCTGACTCTATTCTCTGCTTCATCCTTTCCACACTGCCCATTGTTGTGGAATGCCAGAATAATTCAAATAACAAAACAAAATAACAAAATAATTCAAAACAAAACAAAACAGTGCACACACACACACACAGCAAGAACAGCAAACAACAATTACTACAGAAGTCAAACACTTAAAACCTCAATGGCAGGGCAAGGAGTATATGAGAACTCTCTGTACCTTCTGCTCAGTTTTGCTGTGAACCTGAAACTGTTCTAAAAAATTGTCTGTAAGAAAACCTCAATGGCTCCTACTCAATTTTATGTTAAATTCCACATCATATATGTTGAGGTTCCTCAGTAATAACTTAGACTAAAATCTTTCTAAGGATATTTTCAAACATCTTTTGCCCCCTGTGTAATGAGGAGAAAGTAATGTTTCTGGTAAAAGGACACACAAATCTTGGTGTAAAGCATATAAGAATAATTTTTAGTGTTTTCGCTCATACCTTTCCCAAAGGGAGGATAAATTGATCGTCACCAGCAGGCAATTAGTCAATAGTCCATTTGTGTTAAAAAAACAAAAGAATCTTAATTGATTTTTTAAAAATGGAACCAGGGAGAGAATTACAGATAAAAAAAACAGTAAGATATTTAGACACTATTTGAAATTGACCCTTGATCACTGAAAAGTGTCCAATTGCTTTGCTTTCCGTGTTGCAGAATGGAAACCCAGGGAAGCAGCCAATCAAATGATCACCTTCAGACACCTAATGCATATTATATACTGCAGCAATTGTGTTGAGAGTCTTGTAAACCAGTTCCAGAAATGATTTTTGTGAGATGTTGAATTTCAATGCCAGTTGACTCACAACCTTGCCAATCTCTTATGTGTAAAGTAGGGTATTGAGTAAGAAATGGACATTCAGAATGGTGATCTCCAAGGATATGGAAGACTTAAAGGCTCTTGACTCCCTCAAAGCCTCTGAAATTCTCTCCATGGCCTCTCTATTACTGGAGAACACTGTGCCTCTGTTGTGTGTGTGTGTGTGTGCGTGTGTGTGTGTTGGGGGGAGGGGGAGATAAGAGTCTATCTCTTACTCCATCCGTCACTGGCTCTCAGAGGCTGACTTGGTTTCAAATACAACATAGCCCAGAGAGTAGAATATAGACTCAGAGCACGAAGACAAAGCATTACACTTAAAAAACTTCCCACTTGTATCACGAAAAATTTGGAGGTAATGTAGGATTTTATTTTCATGGTCCTATTTCAAGGAGGACAGGACACAAATTTGGACTGGATTATATTCAGTACTACTATAATAGTAGTAGTACTACTACTATCATGTTCAGAATATACCATACTCCCCTAAAATAACCCATGTGAGCAGCAGGCTGACCTTGATAGTCAGCTGGATTGGAAAAGGTAAGTTCGGACGCAGCATCCATCCAGTTTGGACGCAGCATCCGTCCATGCTAACTGACATTGGAATATGATCCTCTTACGCTTAATGTAGAGGAAGGAAATAAATGACAGCTTGAGATAGAGATGTTATCACTTTAACTGTGTTTCATGCCAGAGCATAAAATGCTCTTATCTGTTCCTTGCTGTTGGTGAAGGAAGCAGTGAGGTATTTAAAAAATATTTTACTAGTTCTCTAGGCTGGAAATGCTGACACAGCAGGGGGCTGCTACTAAAATAGGTCCCTGGTTTCAGTGGAAATGAACAAAGTCTGAGGGCAGGTGACTGAACTTATGTGGGGTATTTAATCACAGTAACAAATGGACGTGGTCATCATGTAGATATAAAGTGGCAGCATGTCCATTGCTGAGTTGGTTCCCATTTTTTCTGTTCAGTTCCACCTGGTCAGGGACAAGGTCTTATCTTCATGTCTTCATTTTCACACTTGGTGTCTAAGCACCCACTCCCTGGTTCTCACTATATAATGTCCTTCATCCTGCTCTTTCACAAACTGTAATCCCTTCAGTTATTTCTTTTATTTTTCTCTCCTTTTTGGTCTCATATACATAGGATTTGATTAGTCTTAACCCTTGGCTCATAACACACAGGCATTGTTTATTGATGCATGTTATTTATTTATTTAAAAATATAGTGGGAGGGGCTTCCCTGGTGGCGCAGTGGTTGGGAGTCCGCCTGCCGATGCAGGGGACACGTGTTCGTGTCCTGGTCCGGGAAGATCCCACATGCCGCGGAGCGGCTGGGCCCGTGAGGCATGGCCGTTAAGCCTGCGTGTCCGGAGCCTGTGCCCCGCAACGGGAGAGGCCACAGCAGTGAGAGGCCCGCGTACCGCCAAAAAAAAAAAAAAATATATATATATATATATATATATATATATAGTGGGTAATTATGAAACATCTGCCCCACTCATCCAATGATATGCAAGGTAGACCTTGACAATATTTAAATATTTAAACTATGTGGTTTACCCCCATCCCATCTCCTGCCACTCCCCATCCGAGTCCCATATTAAACATCATCCTGAACTTGGGTCATCACGCTCCCTCGCCACTGTGTGTTGGTAAACGTTGGACAACCAGCTCTCTGGAGGAAAATACAACAAGCCCTGATTTGTGGTGCCTGCTGCTTGCTGTGGTATAAACATCCCTGCTATGGCTGATTTCAAGCTATTAGCATGACGCCACTGACATTAAAGTTGGGAAAGATGTTGTACAGTGGGCCCTCCTGAGCCGTAAAAGCCAGTTCCAGCAACAGCTGTTTCTTGCTTTACTTTTAATGTAATCTTTTCCGAATATATTTGAGGTTGTGAAAATTATTTTCTTGATTCAGTTGTTTTTAGCTTTATAAAAACTGTGTCATGCTTTGCAAAATCTTACCAGGGTTAGTTTTTGTAGTTGGTATTATATTGCTAAGATTACCTATAGCATTGCTCATCCCTGTAGTGCATTCATTTTGACGGACGTATGTAGTTTTCCACCACATGAATGTACCAGAGTTTATTCATTCACTCTCTTGTCAGTGCAGAGGCGCCTTGGTCGCATGTTCTGCTACTGTCAACAGTGCTGCTGAGGACAGATTTTTATTTATCTTCTGCATGATTAGCACATCCCTTGATGTAGTGGATTTGTTGGGTCATGGAATAAAGGAATGACCAACTATATGACTTAATGCCAGTGTTTCCAAATTGTTTGCATCACTTATGCTCACAGCAGGAATCCTGTGGATCCAGACCCCCTCTAACAGTTTATATTTCTTTGCTAATCAAATGGGTATCAACTTACATATCATTGCACCTTGCTTCATGTTTCCTGATCACCAGTGGAGTCAAATATCTCCTCATGTGTTTATTGATCATAGATGATTCTTCTATTAAGTGTATGTTAACATCTTTTGCTTTTTTTATTGGGCCATACAGTATTTGTGGTCAATGTGTGATTTTTCCTAGAAAGGGATTTTTTTGAGGGGTTTACACTCACTGCTCCACTTACTATCTTGTGGCTTCCGACAGAACTTTCTGGTTTTATAGACAAGGCTTGTTGTCTGAAGTCTTTCTTATTTACTCTGTCTTCTCTTCCCTCTGACACCTTTGTTGAGAGACAGAAACACATTCCCTGTGAAGGTTCGGGGCATGCTCTGTACCTGGGTTTAAAGGGTGCACCCCATGCAGTCCTACCCTGTTCATTCATCAACCCCAATACTATATATAGCACATCCCTGAATTCTTTCAAGAGTGAACATCTCTACTTGGCCTCCTAATGATTCTGTTTATCTTGAGGGCCTAGGACGGTGACAAGACAGTGCTGAATTTTCTTGGAGAGACAAATGCCAGAGTTTATTATAAAAATACACAGTGCATTATAGAAGCATTTTGAGATGTGCCTATAGGATTATGTGTTGATTTATCTAAGAAGATATGGTTAACATATGGCAGAGTCAGAAGAAAAATCCAGGTTTTATAATTTTCAGCCCAGGGAACTTTCCAGGTTGGTTGGCCATTTATAGGACCAGCTCCATTCCCATATGGCTAGCTCTCTAACACCATGCTTTTTCCACGCTCCGTACTCAGATATTTTCTCTCTCTTTCTGCATACACACGATCACAGCTGACTCAGTCAGAGAGGCTGTGGTTTTTCTCTCTCCACACCTCCTTCCACGGGGCTCCATGGGTTTGGTGGGGTGGGGGGTGGTAGCTGTTACAAAGGTTCTTGTTTGGGTCTCTCATCTCTGCCCAGCGCTGTGTCTCTGACACCACAGAAGTAGAGGCTGCTGTCTGCAGGATGCACATTTGTCACCATCAGAGATGTAAATGTGAGGTTTGGGTGGCTGACGGGGTACTTGGCCTTGGTATAACCTTGTTCGTACGTGGCATCGGAGCCCTCATTAGAAGTGGCTATCAGCACGAGGCCCTGTTTCGGGAACTGATGATACCAATACGCAGTTGTGGCTTGAAGTGTCCCTGAACGGCACTGGATGGTCACAGACGCTCCACTCTTACAGATAGCCCTGCTGGGGTGTTGAGAGACGAGAGCACTGAGCCCAGAGCCTGCTGAGACAGAGGTCAAGGAGATGAGAGGCCAGCAGGACAGACAGACATGACCACAGGCAGAAAAATCACAGCCACGCTCGCTCACCTTTCTCTCAGCTCCCAGAGAATCCTGCTTGTTTTGTGAAATCTTCCTATCCTAATCCCCCGTCTCCCCTGACTGGTGACTTCTCACCTCACCCTTTACAGCTCCAGAGAGCATGGATGTTCCCTCTCATTTTGATCAGTGTAAAAAACCCACAATCTCTGGCTGTCACTTCACTCATGCCAACACACACGCACACTTGCCCAAACTACTCAGATAATAAGGCCCGTACCGGGTCCCAGAAGCAGCAGAAACACCAACATCTTCAGGACCCAGCCTCACACCACACGTCTCCGAAGAGAGGTAGGACCTTGCTCTTCAAGCTTCCTTCTTCCACCCCTAGAAGGAGGGACGACTGTTTATGTAATCCTAAAGATGCTCAAATCTGCCTCCTGGTGGCCATCATTGCCAATGATGCAGGCTCCATCGCTCTTTCTGAATGTCGAAGAACCATACAAACGTTGCTGGAAGGGGCCGCAGAGATGTTCTAACTCAACTCCCAGCTTCATAGAACATAAATTGAGACCTAGAGCATTGCAATGACTTCAGTTTCTTAGTCTTATATAAGGAAAGAGCTATATGTTTGTGTAGTAAATGACATTATAGTTAATTCTTTACTTCTATAACATATCCTCAAAGTAACCAAGACAACTCACTAGAATGAGTGATTAACTATGTTAATCACTAGAACTATGGCTGAACATAAGAAATCCTAGACTAGAAGCTCAATGTTTCTTCACACTGATAAGGACATTTCCTCATCTTCTCAAAGAAGTATGTATTTCATGGCTGTCTTATGCCAAGCCCCTCATACTGATGGACTTAATACTAAGCATATCTATTTACTACAGTCTGTATGTCTGTGTAAATCAACGTGGAGGCTATGAGGATAATTTACAGCTATTTCATCATGATACAGGTCGTAAGCTAAGCATTGGACAATGGAAATAGCTTATAGGAGATCTAGGGAATTATTTCTGTTTTGAACATGCTAGAATATGTTCTAAATGGCTCAGGCTTGGAAATGTATAGCAATTTCAAAGCGGTTAAAGATTTTTCTCCAAGGCAGTATACTTTCATTTTCATAACAACCTCCTACTTGTGTTTTCATTTAATATTTAGTTCTTTTTACCTGGAATGGGTAACTTAAAAAGGTGGAATTAGAATTTGATCCATCAAATTGTATTAGTACTCTAGTGACATAGATTTTTATCATGGAAATTACTGCATACTACATATTACTATACACATAATACTGATATATGTATTAAAGGCCATCTGACATGCGCTTGTGGTTGGTTTTTTTTTTATGATTGGGGTAGATCACATTAGAATGGGATCATCTCCCATTATAACTGTACTTTTTCTGCAAAGAGCAGGTGAATGTGCCTTGTAATGGATTACTTCTGGTACAATATTATGACATATGGGATGAAGTGGCCGGAAGCTCCTGGATCAGAAGACAATCTTTCTACTCCTTTTGAGGACCACCAGCCATTAGGTATATACCTGCAGTGTTTTATATTACTGTATCAACTTAACTAAGGAGGAAACAAATTTCCCAGAATTTTCTTCGTGTTATAGTTCTTGATTAGAGTTGACCTCAAAAACAGTATTTGCAAATGAAGCAGCTGTCATTATGCTCTGAAGTCGTCATTGGTCCAAGGCAGTGAGGGACAGGATCAGAAGTACCAATTTTTCATACTATGGTAGCTACTCTTCAAAGAGGGCACCAGATCGGGCTTCCCTGGTGGCGCAGCGGTTGAGGGTCCGCCTGCCGATGCAGGGGTCGCGGGTTTGTGCCCCGGTCCGGGAGGATCCCGCGTGCTGCGGAGCGGCTGGGCCCGTGAGCCTGCACGTCCGGAGCCTGTGCTCCGCGGCGGGAGAGGCCGCGGTGGTGAGAGGCCCGCGTACAAAAAAAAAAAAAAAAAAAGATGGCACCAGATGAAGCACACCTCCCAGTATCCACATTCCTCTAAGTCCCTTCCTCTTGAATCTGGGCTTGCCTGAATGGAGGTGATGCTATGATTTTCCAAGCTGGGTCATAAGTAGCCTTGTAGATCCCACCTGGGTCTCTTGAATTCTCACTTTCGGGGAAGCCAGCCACGAGGTAATCATTTTCACTACCCTGAGGCCACCATGCTGTGAGGAAACTCACCTAACCACGCTGAGGGGCTGTATGTAGAAAGAGAGACATGCCAGGCTGGTCCACAGCCGTTCCCGTCACCTCAGGCGAGGGATCAGGCATGTGCGGAAAGAAGCCACCTTGGATGTGCAGTAACTTGAGCCTTAAGGTTTCTCCAGCCTCAGGGACTACCTGATCGTGACTGCATGAGACACCCCAAGTGGGAACTGCCCAGCCGAGCCCACTCAGCCCACAGAATCATGAGACATAATACATGTTTAAGTCACCAAAGTTTGAAGTGGTTGTTGTTATCATTGTTTTTCTAAGCTTTTAAAATGAGATATAAAGTACACATAATAGACTGCACAAATCTTGAGTGTACAGCGTAGTGAACTTTCACAAATGAGTACATCCTATGGAAAAACCCGAATGAATTTTTTGGCCAACCTAATATATAACTATCACCCAGATCAAGATATAGGACATTTTCAGAACCCCAGAAGCCTCCCTCATGCTTCTCTCCGAGTAAATGAAAAATGCCCTCAAATGTAGCCACAATTTTAACTTTGTATATAGTCTGTACTCTGGCTTCTTTTTTGTTTAAGATTATGTGTATGAGATTCATCCATGATTGTGCAAATAATATTTGTTTTTTTGCTATTTTTTATCCTATTACTAAGTGTAACTCTATATATTCATTGCATGGTTGATGGACAATTGGGTGTTTTCCAGTTCGAGGTTGTCACGAATAAAGCTGCTGGGATAGTATGTTTTTCTCACATATCCTTTTCTATTTCCTCAAAATTCTGGAATATTTCTTAAGTTTGTGTACAGTTAAATTGGTTTTCTGACTTGCCTAATTTACTACTGATTGCTTCCAGTATATTTAAATTCAGAAACTGGATTTTATTTTTCCATAAATTGTTCTTCCTAGGTGATAGATGCAATGGCTTCTTAAAACTTGCTAAGAAAGCATTTAGTGATACTTTAACTTTTTTGACTTTCATTTCGTACAGTAACTCTTTTACAACTTGGTTATGGGAATGGGGGCTATTATGAAATTTCACAACTAAAGAGTTCTTTTCAGTACTAGGACCACTCTGAAAAAGTAAATGTTTCAATAGTTTTAGAGTTGACGTTTTAAAATCAAGTAAAGTCCATCTGCTTTGTTTCATAAATTCTTCCACTGACGGGAAGAAATCCGTATCCTTTCTGGTTATGCCCAAGATAAAGAAAAACAAGATTACCTATCTCTTAAAAAAATTTTTTTTTATTTTTAACATCCTTATTGGAGTATAATTGCTTTACAATGGTGTGTTAGTTTCTGCTGTATAACAAAGTGAATCAGCTATACGTATACATATATATCCCCATGTCCCCTCCCTCTTGTGTCTCCCTCCCACCCTCCCTGTCCCGCCCCTCTAGGCGGTCACAAAGCACCGAGCTGATCTCCCTGTGCTATGCGGCTGCTTCCCACTACTATCTATTTTACATTTAAGATTACTTATCTCTGACTGTCCTCCCTTTAATTTCCTTTCTTTCATTGGACAGATAGCCTCACCCCCTCCCAGGATTTCTGGAGCATGGCTTCTACACAGGGAGCAGAGAGCTCGACGGGCTGTGTCTCCTACTGGTCTATCACTGCATCAGCTAGCTCAGGGGAGGACTGATTTGGAGGCATCTGTGAGCATGGTCTGGACAAAGTAAAGGATCTTAGATCCATCCATTCCCAACTATCTCCTTACTATTTCAGAGAACACTCGCTGCAGTGAGGGCTTGGAATTCTCATCATGTCACATTTTAGTGTTTTAAATACTCTTCAAGGGGTTAGTATCTCTTTTCCATCTCTGTTTCTCAGTATTTTGGTGCTAGTGTGAATATGTGGGAGAATATATGGGAGAAGAAAGCCAAAGTTAACACAAAATTCAAAAAGGAACCTGAATAAAATGCCTGGCGCCAAGGCTTGTACGTAATGGTCAGGGACTCCCCACGTGTTCCCCCAAATTGCTTGTCCCAAGAGGGTCACGCCGAGGAGACTGGGACTCTTAAATGCTTCCAAGAATGATTTAAAAATATGTTTAATACAGCCTTTTTAGCTGTATGCAGTGGGAGGGTTAGTCTGAATAACATGGACTGTCAATCTTTTCTAGAAACAGAACTATGTGATTAAATAAATATTTGTGACAAAATGAAGTCCCAAGAATTAACACACTTGCCTCCTAATTTGATAGATTGGTGGCAGACCACAAAAGGAGAAAATATACACAAAATATGAAGACCATTTGCAAAATAATACTGACCACCTGTCAGCTTATTAGTCATGCAAACATTTCTCTGAAGCCTGACTCTTCTAAGTGCCAAGCCTACATTTACAAGAGCCTGGTAGGTATTTCTATGTACACATCCAAGGAAGGCCCACTAGAACTAGAAGCCCAATTTTGTTTAATAACGTTGCTCCACCCAGTTTCCCAAATTTTCTCCTATTGCCATATTCCGGGGAGGAGGTGGTGAGCATCTTTTCCCTATTTTATCTCGTGATTTTCTCCTGCCATAGTTCCCTAAGCCTGTATCACTATGCTGGTGTTTTCCCATCTCGTGGTGAGATCCTACTCACACTCGAGTTCCATCTCACATTTTGCCTTTCCTTTGAAGCCCTTCCTGATGTCAACAGACAGAACTGACTGTGTTATTTCCTGCACTCCACTAATACCTCTGATGAAAGCACGCATTCTATGACGCTTGATTACAGTATGTTTCTACACATTTCTCTCCCCACTAGACTTTTATTATCTTTCTGAAGGAAGGGACCATTTTCTGTTCATTTTTTGTTTTCCAGTATTTGGTAAAAAAGAAAAAAAAAAATCTGGGTTGTGAAATTACCCTCTCCTCTCTCTCTGATGTAGGTAGATATGGATAAATAGGTTTATGTAATTTTAAACATCAACTCAGTGGACCGCTGAATTGTGACGGCGCCAATTCCACAGCGTGCGCCGTTGTAGTAGCTGCTGTGGCTGCCTGGTTGAGCAGGAAGAAAGGGGGCCGACCAGGGTACTAAAAACAGAAAAGCCCCGGCACCTGGTGGGGAAGCAGGGCTTGGGCCGCATTTATGGGCAGAGGGGAGGTGGCTTTGCTTCACTGTGTCTATATTAGTGGCACAGAGATAGAGAGCCGTCTGGTTCTTCTGTGTCGATGTCAAGGTGAGAGGAAACAGTGACTTCTTCTCCCGGGAGGCACTGTATCCTTCAGCTATGTCTCCTTTCTGAACATCCTTTACAACTTGAGAGTAGTAGATCAGTCTCAGCCCTTGTCCTGGGTCCTGTCGGTACCAGTACATGGCGTCGTAACCAAACTCCTGTTCACATTTCAGGGTCACATCTCGTCCTTCCACTTTGAACAGGTATTTTGGGGTCTGAGTGACCCTGCCATCTACAGTGCCTATGGAAGAAAGGGAGTGGCTCTGGGAACACGGCCCAAGAGGGTGTCTAATGCTGCTGCCATGAGGGAAAGGCTTAGCTCTGGAGCTCAGCCCCTTTGGGACAGGAACTTGCTTCCTGAACCCTGGACTCACCTGCTCCGAGCAGACAAAGGGCCACACAGCAGATCACCTGGTTGCCCATAGTGGAAAGGGGGGTCTCCTTGTAGCTCTGAGCACAGACAAATGAGGAAAGAAACTTAGCTCTGGGGCTCCCCCTGTCTTAATGGGTGGAATCTGTCATAAGGCCAGGAAGGATAGTTGGATAGAATCCTGGAGATATTCAAGACAGGCTCCCTAATATGGCAGGTGAGGAGATTAAGAACAGAGATCTGAATCACTTGCCCCCCCCTTGTGCCTCTCTCCCCAGAACTCTGCATTTTGTCTGGTCCGGATGGGTGGTACCACCACATTTCCAGGCCAGAGCCTGGAAATGATTGGCCCACGGGTTTTCACCTTCCTCGTTATGGTAATGTTTGCTTACTATGGGAGCATAGTAGGTGCTCTGGTCACACAAGAAAGCAGAGTTTATTTTTAATCCCATCGCTGCCATAGTTACTGCTCCAGATCTGTAGCAGAGGAGGAACAGAATTAACATCAGGTTGACACTGCCTCCCTTACTCTTTGGCCCCTGTGTTCTATTACTTTAGCCCTGCACATCAAGAGTTAAACATTAGAGAAATGTTGCTTGTGCCCAAATAAGTTCCCTTAAGAAAGTCCCCATCCCACAGTCCCAGGTTCATTATGGCTATTACTTGTTGTAGATAAGTTCGCTTTCAGCCTAGAAACCTTGCGAATAAGCAGAGATAAGAGTGGTAAAGTAAAAATAACTGCTAACAACTTGAAGTTGTTTTTTTTTTTTTTTGAAAGAAGGAGCATGATTTTATTGAAATGTTTTTAGTACAGTGTTGGAAGATCTTCGAATCCTATATTCTTTTTTTTTTTTCGAATCCTATATTCTAAACCGATACAAGCGCTGCAAATGATGTAGTTCCTCAATCTATTTGACATCATATCTACCAAAGGAAAGCTATACTACGAACCTCTTTAAGTTGGTTAATGTAACTTAAGTTGGAAACTGAGCAACTCTGGTATATTCATATTTCTCTGGCTCCCCTTTTCGGCTAGATGTACGCCAAGTCAACCGCCATGCAGCAGAGTCAGACAGGACCAATATATTTTGTGGTTTCACTGAAACGTTTCCACATAAGCAGCAAGGGACGTACAAGTTCTGGGATTAAGCTGCTCTCAAGGCCGTCTTCATCATCTTTTTTGAACTGGACCATCAAATAGTTAAGGGCTACGTGGCTGCTGCTCAGGGCTACGTCTAGTCTATTTAGTTGACAGATGTGCCAGAGTTTTGCAGAAGCCTCGTGATGCAGCCTTGTGAACAAGCAGAAGAACAAAGAAATGTTATGCTTCCCTTGAAGGCCAGGTGGCTCCAGGAAGTCTGCTATCTGCCTTTACCCTTTATTATTAAACCCTCCGGCTTCCCCTTTTTCCTTAGCATAAAAGCAGCCTGAATTCTACTGCAAAATTTAGGACATTAGTCTACCATCTTGTCGTCTTGCTGGCTTTCCGAATAAAGTCGCTATTCTTGCCCCAATACCTTGTCTCTTGACTTACTGGCCTGTGGTGCGTGGGGCAGTAACAGCTTGGACTTGGTAACAAAACTTGACAAGCCAGCCAGGAATCTTGCTGCTCGTGGCCAGCTGGCCCTGGTCAGGGAATTTTGCTTGGCAGGGCCCTAGCAGCAGCCAGGACCTCTTGTCCTGGGGATCCTCCTTCAAAAGTCCTCAGAGTAGCATCAGTTGTCCTAGCGCTTAGCAGCTGGAGCAAACACTTGACATTTGGGAGTCAGCAGTCTCAATGCAGTACGGCAAGTCACTTCAGTGTGTACAACCAAAAACTCCCTTCCCCTCCACCCCGGGCTTTTCCTGTCTGGAATAAGCCCATTTGTTTTGCATTTGTGTGGGGTACCCTGTTGAAGAGGTAAATAGTTGTTAGATTCTACCTGATTTGTGAACCAGTTCATTTGTTTCTTTAGATCCTAGCATTTGGTTTTGGGAGCACCACTTGTGCTTTGTTTTTCTTGCTTTTCTGTTTTTTAAAAGATGGGAAACATTTCATCCATCCCTAAAGAAAACTCACTGGTTGCATTTGGAAAAATTGTCTGATTATAGCTGTGAACCTATGACAGAAACAGATGACATTTTGTTGCAGAAATGTCTGGCCACATTATTCATTGGCATCTGAGGAACGGTGGCGTCTGAATGGTTCTCTGAATTATTATACAATCTTGCAGTTAGAGTTATTCTGTGAAAGAGCGGGGGAAATGATGAGATTCCTTACATGCAAGCATTTACGTTGTTACATCAGGAAGAGAAAAAGTCAGACAGTTGCTACCTCATGGTACGAGGGTCTGAAAAGAAACCCAAGAGAAAATCTTTTCTACCGGAGGACAAGGAAGGGGATGAGAGTGAGGATATGTTGCTGCAAACCTTAAATCCTCCTCTGGCCATGCTGGCTGTCCCTGCATCTGCTCTAACCATCCTCATGCAGCTGATGTCCATCCCTTCCATTGCCTCCTGTTTCTATACCCCAGCTCCTGACGCTGAGGTGCGGGAAGTCCCTTCTTATAGGATCAATTGGAAAATCTTGTGTTGGTTCCTAGGGCACAACGACATGGTCTGGTATCGTCATTTAAGACCCAACTGGGCACTCGGTTTAGACCCGGAGCCACCTCCAGGGCAGGGCAATTTCCCATTATCCTGTAGGGAGCCTCAATGAGAATGGCCAGCCAACTGGGTATTTGAGGATGCACAGTCCATTTTCAACCTCAGATTTGTTTAACTGGAAGGACTGAAACCCTCCATATAGAAAGGATCCTTTTCAAATGACAGAATTGTTCACTTGCATTTTCACTACCCACCAGCTTTCACAGGCAGACATTTGTATTCCCAACATGATGCTTACCGGTCGATGAGAAGATGGTGGTCACGGATAAAGCTAGAGAGGTAGCACACCAGCTCCACCTAGTGGACCCAAATGGTACACCCAAAACCCACTCGGCAGTACCCACTGCTGAACCAAACTGGGACTCCAGTGAAAGAGGGATGCTCTTAACAGAGCACTACTGTAAGTGCATCTTGGCAGGGCTTCAGAAAGGGGGGCACCAAAACAAAAGAGTGTAAACGAAATTCAAGAGATTCAGCAAAAACAAAATAAACCCCCTCTGAGTTTTTGGAAAGAATATACTGTGCCTATAAATATTACACCGGTGCAGACCCTGAGGCCCCTGAAAACACTTGAATGGTAAACATGAATTTATCAGACAAAGTGCCCCAGATAGCAGGAGAAAATTACAGAAACTAGATGGTACATTTGAAACGAATCCTTCTCAGTTGGTAGACATTGCTTTTAAAGGTATTTAACAGCAGAGAGCAGAAGCAGAAGAAGGAAGACTCAAAGAATATTACTCGGCCATGAAAAAGAATGAAATAATGCCATTTGCAGCAACATGGATGGACATAGAGGTTCTCATACTGAGTGAAGTAAGTCAGAGAGAGAAAGACAAAAAACAAAGGGTACAAATGAACTTATCTACAGAACAGAAATAGAGTTACAGATGTAGAAAACAAACTTATGGTTATTGGGGGAAAGGGGGTGGGGAGGGATAAATTGGAAGATTGGGATTGACATATACACACTACTATATATAAAGTAGATAACTCGAAAGGACCTACTGCATAGCACAGGGAACCCTACTCAGTACTCTGTAATGGCCTATATGGGGAAAGAATCTAAAAATGAGTGGATATACGTATAACTGATTCACCTTGCTGTACACCTGAAACTAACACAACATTGTAAATCAACTATACTCCAATAAAAATTTAAAAAAAACCCGAAATGCCACTTTTCTGGCTGCCACATTGGATTCCAAAAGAAAAGTCAACTATCACTAGGCAAGGAAATATGCATGGATTATAAAGAGGAGGAGCATTGGAAGAGGGGATGCCCCAGACCAAAGAAAAAGAGGACTGAGGAAAAGAAAAGAGTTGAGGCCTCCCAGATGGTAGGGAGAGAGGAACGTTCAGAAGATGAATAAAGCAGCCCAGGGGCTCCCCTGGATTTGTGGCACCCAATTCAAATATCCCCACCAGAGCCCCAGTTAAAACTGACAGTGAGGAACAAATTGATTGACCTTCTAGTAGACATGGGTGCAACCCATTCCACGCTAAAACAGCCACATGGCACACAGAACACCTCAGTCCACCCCTGATCATTTTTACAATCATCGGAACGTCAATTAGGAGACCTGACAGTTTCTTGTATGTGCCTGAATGCCCTATGTCTCTCTTGGGTTGAGATCTCCTTTGTAAACTAAATGCTCAAGTGACTTTTTCGCCAGGACATCTTGATGTATGGGTCCCACCGGAACACATATTTAAACCTACAGATGGCTCTCATAGAAAACCCAGAGAAGGAGATGGAACTTCCTCCCCGCTGAGGTCTACGAAAAGACCAAAAGTATGGGGTGGTGGCACCCCAGGAAAGGCCAAAAATGTAAGGCCAATACAAATCCCATTAAGAAAGGATGCTGGGACACCTAATCTAAAATAATATTCTCGGATGCAAGAGGCCCAGAGGGAATATAGCCAATTCCTGAGAGATTCTTAAAAACGGGACCAATTAGATCTTGCAAGCCCCCATACAAGGCCCCTATCCTCCCAGTTAAAAAGCCCAACTCAGCAGAGTGTCACTTTGTTCAAGACTTCAGGGCTATTAATGAGATAGTCCAAGATCTGCACCTTGTGATCCCAAATTCGTATACTCTGCTCACAACTATTCTGGGAGAATATGGCTGGTTGTCAGTTTCACGCTTGAAAGATGCTTTTCCTTTGCATCCCTACTGCAGAGAGTCACAGCAGCTATTCACCGTCGAATGGCAGGACCAGAAACATGGGTAACCCAACAATATTGCTGGACAGTCTTACCTCAGGGGCTTAAAAATTCTCCTGCTTTTTTTTGGAGGAGTGCTGGCTAAAGACCTCCAGAACGTAACACTAGATGAAGGGTCCTTGCTCCAATATGTGGATGAGTTGCTGATAGCGAACCCCACGTATGAAAAGTGTCTACAAACTATCATTAAACCTCTGAACTATTTGGCTGAATATGGATATAAAGTCTCTCCAGAAAAGGTCCAGGTATGTAAGCAGCGGGCCACGTGTCTGGGTCTTGCTTTATCCCAAGGACAATGAGATCTATCGCCTGGCAGAAAACAGGCAAGTACAGTCTTAGGAGTACCTAAGACTCACAGACAACCAAGGGGGAATGGCAAGATTCTGTCGGATTTGATCCCGAATTATGGACTCACAGTAAAGCCCCTCAAAAAGCTTTAAAAGAGTGCCAGGGCTTCCCTGGTGACGCAGTGGTTGAGAGTCCGCCTGTCGATGCAGGGGACGCGGGTTCGTGCCCCGGTCCGGGAAGATCCCACATGCCGCAGAGCAGCTGGGCCCGTGAGCCATGGCCGCTGAGCCTGCGCGTCCGGAGCCTGTGCTCCGCAACGGGAGAGGCCACAACAGTGAGAGGTCCGCGTACCGCAAAAAAAAAAACTTAATCACGCCTGTAAAGTCCATTTCTGCCATCTAAGGCAACATGCACAGGTTCCAGGGATGAAGACATGGGTATCTTTGGTGGTGGGGAGCTGGGGGTTATTATTCAGCCTACCACACAATACAAAATGTCTTGCTGATCAGTTTGGAAATTTTTGTGGGTACCATTTTCCTGTAATACTAATGAGTCAACTTTATATCCTTCGTGTATAAATCTTTAACTGGCATTCTCTTCACTGTTAAGCTTCAGTGTTTGTTAGCTCGCAGAAACTAGCGATGGCAGAGTCAGTGTGACCCCAGCATATCTGGGGGCTGTGTGCAAAGGGGACAGAAGGGGAGCCTCAGAGAAGCATCAGGCCAGCCTTGGGGGTGGACTTCTGCACTGCAGGCTTCTGCTTAGCCTACCTTGCCCCGCCTGATGTTTAGGAAGCAGTGGAACGGAGGCCAAGGAGAAGCAGCTGCGTCTGGGTCTGTCTGAGTGCTCTGAGCTCAGGGAGCAAGTACAATTAACAGCAACATGACAAGCTGGCTTAGTAGGGACTCCGGAGACCCAACGCTGGAGAATTTATCTCTCATGAGCTGTAAAGATACTACGGTTCCTCTATACCCTTCACCCAACTTTCCTTAATGTTAACACCATGCATAACCATGATGCTTTGCGCAAAACCAAGAATTTAACATTGCTACAACTCAGCTACAGACTAAACTCAGATTTCCCTGGTTTTTCTACTGTTCTGTTCCAGGATCTAATCCAGGATACCACATAGCATTTGTTATGTTTCCTTAGACTCCTCCAACCCTTGAGAGTTTCTCAGTCTGTTCTTGTTTTTAATGATTTTCACACTTTTGAAGATCACCGGTCAAGTATTTTGTAGAATGCTTTTCAAACTGGGTTTATCTGATGCTTACTCAATCTTAAATTGAAAGCTCAGTGGGTAACATTTACCCTTAGCCATGGACTGTCACCCTCTGTGAGAAATTTGTGAGAAATGCCAGGAACCAGGCCCCTACTGCCTTCCCACTGAACGTTTCCTAATGTGATGGCTTGTTACATTCGGTTCTTGCCTTCCCTAGGGACAGGAGAACACCAGACCCCCCATGCTTCTAGGGGAGGAGCTTTTACTCAGGACTCAGGATGGCTGGGGGCTGGAGCCCGAAGCGGAAGCAGAGGTTTTCTGCATGGGGTGGGGTGACTCTGCAGCACTGTGTCTTTGCTGCTGGCACAGAGGTACGTGGCCGAGTCCCCGGGTTCTGTGGGCTGGATCTTCAGAGTGGAGAATGATGCGTTAGGCATCTTAGCTGAGAATCGGTCCTTGGGCATCCCTGACTCGTCTGTAGGAGCTTGGTTGATGAAGTAAATCAGAAACTCCAATCCCTGCACCAAGGTCTGTCTGTACCAATAAAGCGCAGTGTGGCCTGAAATCGGCTCACAACTCAGAGTTACTGCATGTCCCATTTCTGTCACCTCATGCCTGGGTGTCTGGATGACTCCCGCATCTGTGGGCTCTGTGAAAGAATTTGGAAACAGAATACGAAAAATATCGGAGTCACAATAGGGAAACCCTACATGAGGACATTGAATATTCCAAGGACTCACCTATTCGCAGGAGACAAAGGGCCACACAGCAGAGGGCTCTCATGCCCACGGCAGGATGAGAACAACGATGTGGAATTGTCCAGACCAGGGCCCCTGTGGAAATGAGCAGAGAAGTGCGTTTGGGACAGCTTATCCCCACAAATGTGTTTGTCAGTGACACCACTGAAGGAGCCACCCCCCGCCCCCTCCCCCCGGGCCGCAACTCAGAAGCTCCCTTCAGAGAAGAAGGCTGCATCTCCAGGAAAGGAATCAGGCGGGACTGAACTCAATTATAATTGATGTAAGATAGAGATTTACACCTCCAGAGGCTCCCTGCAGTTGTTTTGATATTATCAATTCATAATGCCTTCTCTATACAATCTCTCAGCTAGCGCCCGCCAACTATTTCCACTTGAACCTCAAACTCCAGGTTTAAATTGTCTCATTGCAAGCCAGCTTCTCTGTGAACCCTCCTATTCCTCTCGCTGGTGGCTAGATGCTCCTGGTCATATCACACTCCAAATCATCCATCAGTTAGGAGGTGGGCTCTGGGCTCTCCAGGAAAAACGAGAATAGCAACTGCATTGTTAGGGCTTCAGGGACCGAACTGGTGCCTGGAGAACTGATTCAATTTGAAAGCTCTTTTTTTTTTTTTGCAGTGAAAGACCTTTCTGGGTTCCTTTATCCTTGAGCGCTATTAAATTCACAGAGCCCGTAGCATAGGATTTCCCTCATTTCTCTGTCCCCGCCGTGAAATAAGCAGACGATTTTCACGTTCTCTTTGCAAATCAGATCCCCTAGAGTTGATTTAAACTGTATTCTTACTCCTAGAAAAGCTCGATGTTTTTAAATGAACACCGGGCCCTTTCCCTATGAAAGGGGTCTGCTGCCACAAACCCACTCCCTCTCGTGGTTGAGGTTATGCAAAGCTGAGGGAAGCTTTCTGTTTACTGGGTTGTTCGAGCAAGTTATTTGTTGACCAGGAAGAAGGACCAGTTCAAATCCATATTCTGTGATTAGCACAGAGACACACTGCTGACTCTTCTGAACCCGAGGAGCACATGCCAATTTTAAAGCGAAGATAGTTTACAAGCTGGATTTTGTTACCAGAGGTACCTGTTTCCCTTGTGGGCTCCGTCCCCTTGGTTTCTGTTGGACCCTGAATGTAAAACTGAGGCCGTTATCGTATTTTTATAAAAGGTCATTGTTTGTTCCTTCCCTGTTACCGGGTACCTATAGACATGGTAGACAGAATGATGGCTCCCCAAAGAGCTCAATGCCTGATCCCTGGAACTGTGGATGCGTCACACTGCGTATCAAGGGGGAAGGAATTCAGGTTCTAAATGGAATTAAGGTTGCTAATCAGCTGACCTTAACATAGGGAGACTGGACTGGACTTTCCAGGCGGGCCCAGTGTAATCGCAAGGGCCCTAAAATGTGGAAGAAGAACGAAGAGTTAGGGTTACGGCGATGCAGCATGAGAAAAGACTGGATCCATCATTGTTGGCTTTGAAGATGGAAGGGCCCACTAGTGGAGAAATCTTGGTGGCCTCCAGAAGCTGAAAAAAGCAAGAAAACAGATTCTCCACTCCAGCCTCCAGAGGAAGGCAGCCGGGCTGACACCTTGTTTTAACCCACTTAGACCCATTTTGGACTTCTGACCTTCAAGACTGTAAGATAATAAACTTGTATTGTTTTAAGCCACAAAATGTGTGGAAATTTGTTAGAGCAGCGATAGGAATCTAATAAATTACAGTATCCTTGGGGGTCATGAGTGAAAGAGGCCGTAGCGAGATACCAGATACAAGGGGGAGACCGAGGCTTAATCACACAGTAAGAACTTGAAATCAGGCCAAGGGAAGCCCAGGCAAAAGACTTCTTATCTCTGCCAGACCTCATCTGCTTCCAAGAGACACATCAGAGTCTGGCAAAACTCCATTGTGCATCTTCCTGCTGAGAGCAAAAGTTCTTGGGGAGAAATTCTGTTGTCCTGATCCACCCCAGCCCCTGCCTGACACGTGGATTTGCTGGCGGTATCACTGTGGTTGTCAGCTCCCTGGGGACAGCACTTGCTGTCCTCCTGACCCTACACTCTAGGTACAGCAGAGCCGGTGGGCTGGCCTGGGCTGGTTTGGTTCAGGCTCACTAGGCTACTCTGACCCTCAAACTGCTTCTCTGCTTTTCCCAACCCAGAACGTGCAAGCTTCACCACCCAGCTCCTTGTGCAGCCACGTCTTAAGCAAACTTGGAGGAATGCCCACTGCAAGCATACCTACCATTCAAAGCCAGCTCAGAGCAAAACCCACCTACACAGCAGAGGAAGAAGGGTTGGTCTCTATTTCCTTCATTCTCAGCCATTATTCAAGACACCTGCAACTCCCTAACTCTAAACCCAACCCTATGGTTTCCCTTAATGCCATCCTTCCAGGCCACATAGACGCTAGATGACAATGAAGCCACAGTGTCTCCTAGTGGCCGGTGGGCAGAAGCAACACAAATATGCTGTCTGCCCAGCACATGAGGGGGGTTGTGTGTTGTTCCTTTGAGTACAGGGGGTGTGGGTATTATGATTTGTTGGTGTTAGAGGGTCAGTAAGTAATATTGACTTATTATGGCCTAAGACGGAACACCTGCGAGTTAGACGTCAGAGTCAGGCAGAGATAATAACATCAGTTTTGATATTGGTAAATAACAGGGCTCAGCTGTGAAACCAAATGGGCTGTGGCTAATACTATGCTGAATCAGAATTTAACTCACTTTCTCTCCCCTCCAAACTGCAGGCCGACCCTCTATGGATAAGAAAGTTCTCCGCTATTCTTGGTGCATGTTGAGAAAACACCAAAGAATCTATCTCTTTGCTCGGTAGCCAGGAACAAGGCAAGAAGATGAGAGACTAAAGAAGATAAAGAGATTAAATAAGATAATCTATTTCCCTTCCCATAGAGAAGATTCAGCAAGGAATAGGAAGATGAGAACAGGAGGATTACTTTACGGAAGTCCCTGAAAATGGGAAATGTCAAATAAAGTGTTGTCCTAGGAAACTGGGTTTAAGGAGAGGAGAAAAATAGACACGTGTCAGTTATTCTTCCCAATTCCAGCAACTGCTCCTTGAGTATACTCGCAGAAAAACGGCACAGATGTGTCCTGACAGCATAGCAATGAAACAGATTCCAAGTCCATTCTGTACTCTGTGATCAAGTCTACAGAGTCACTCCCTGTTTCATTTCCCATCCTGCCACACGGTCCAATGGAACATCAGAGGTTATGCAATGAAAGTAAAAAAAAAAAAAAGAAAAATTTAAAACTCCAATAATAAAAATGACAAAAACAAATAGATGTCTCAATTTGATTATAAATATCCTTTAAGTTTTTAAAAGAAATACTTTGGTTGAAATTAAAGTTCAAGTGTAACATCTCTATGTCGTTTAAGTTAAATATCAAAGCAATCTCAGACTAAGAATCTAACATTAATTGGTTTTTATTTAAAATTCCAAATAAAATTCTTTTGACTTTAATCCCAGTAATTATAAATGAGAGCACTCAAGGTAACCCTTCTTTGCTGTCTAAATAGGTGGGTAAAAAAAAAACAACATCAAAAACTTCAATTGGGCTTCCCTGGTGGTGCAGTGGTTGAGAGTCTGCCTGCCAATGCAGGGGACACGGGTTCGAGCCCTGGTCTGGGAAGATCCCACATGCCGTGGAGCAACTGGGCCCGTGAGCCACAACTACTGAGCCTGCGCGTCTGGAGCCTGCGCTCCACAACAAGAGAGGCCGCGATAGTGAGAGGCCCATGCACCGCGATGAAGAGTGGCCCCCGCTTGCCACAACTAGAGAAAGCCCTCGCACAGAAACGAAGACCCAACACAGCCAAAAAAATAAATAAATAAACAAATGTGGGGGTTAAAAAAATAAAAGAAAAGAATTAAAAAAAAAAACTTCAATTAATTAAAGTCTAAAATATAGTGAGAGATTCTTGGCTGGAATCTTGGAGAGGTGAGTATCTAAGGAGGGGAGCATAGCAGTCCTTTTGCCCTTAAGGACAATTGCCTTCCCTGACTCAGTGCTCATGAAACTGACTTACAGTCCAGGGGGACAACAGTAAAAGACCAGAATGTACCAAACGTGGGACATTGAGAAACTCAATGTTCTCTCTTGGTGATCCAGGACACCTCAAGCCTTGAATTCCAAATCAGGTAGCCCTGGACTGTTTATACCCCACACACTTGGCAGGAGCAAAACTTTCTCTGGTCGATGATCTGTCCATCCAAGATGAAAATTATTCCTACAAATCTAGTGCCTGGCACAAAGTCAAAGATAACCAGATTCATGAGGAGAAATACAAACACCATAAAAATACAAACATCACGACTGAGAAGCAGCAGAGAAAGAAAATCGACAAAAATAGTCCCACAAAGATCTCAGATGTGAAAATTACCAGACACACCCTAAGACAACTGTCTCCTGTGTTTAAAGAGATAAGATGTAATCTTAGAAACTGTTATTAGAGAATTAGTGACATAGGAGATTGGAAAAAGAACCAAATAAAAATGCTGTGAGGAGATGGTCATCAATGACTGAGGTTTTATCAGACAAGTCAGCTGGATGAGGATATGGACAGAGCAGTCGAGGAGATATGCACTGAGTGAATGGACATATATTATTACTTGCAGTCTTGTTTGGGTAAAGAGAGAAGTGAAACCAGCAGAGATTGAGGGCCAGTGACCATGCCTTTAGGAGAATCTCAGTAAGCTGCTTTCCAAAGAGTTCCAACCAATGCTTCAGAAAGATTTCTAGAATTATCTTAGAGAATCCAGGCAGAAGTTAGAGTAGAGGATACATTCTCAGAGGGAGCAATTGGATCGGGGGTGATTGATTGTTTTAGAAGTTCTTACTAAGGAATATTTTAATGCACTAAGGAACTATTTTAATGTACTAAGGCAAACAGCTGAAATACCCTCAACATGCAGTGTTGAGCTGTGTTGGTTACAGTAACAAACTCCAGAGTAAGAATTTGTTTTGAGCTAAGATTTGAGACTGGTTGCCAGGATACCCATTTGTGTATATTTCTTTGAAGTTGGAAAAGGGCTGAATAGAATAGCTAAAATGATCATCCCACCACCAACGTCATTATTATCAACACATTTCCATAAAAACGGGAAAAAAGTGTTTTCCAACCACATACTCTGTGTTGAGACTTTGATGCCTAAAAGTTCCTGGGTAAAAGCAGAGAGAGAAGGATATCAACTTGAATCATTCAGATGGTGAAAAAAACCTCAGCGAGCCTGCTGTTTGCTACACTCATAGAATCGCCATCTGTATTATTCAAGTTTATTGGACATGTTTTGTGACTGCATATTTTTATAGAAGAAAAACCATCACTAGCCCCTGAGGGCTGAGTCTGTGACAAACACTTTCAGTTTGGGATTCTTGAGTTTTCACCACAGAACGCTTCTAATCCCTGAGTCATAATTATTTTCAAACAACAATTTCAGCTCTCGTGTTTTAAGAAATAATGTGTGTCCTCCATTTATATGCATCACAGCTTATCTCTGCAAACGCACTTCTTCCCCTTGCATAATGAGGAGTAAGGGGAGGGCTGTCTGGAGCTGCCGTGAGCAACACAGAGAGGAAGAATCATGAAGTTTGTGCACAGGAAGGAAGGGTCTGTGCAAGGCTGTGGCTAAGCTGCTGGCACAGAAATACACAGCCGAGTCCCCCAGCTCTGCAGGCTGGATCTTGAGAGTGGAGTCTGCTCCTTGGGGCCTCTCTGCAGAAAATCGATTCTGAGGCAACTACAAAACATTTATTTCAGCCTCTTCCTCAAAGAGAATCAGTAGCTCCAGACCCCTTGTAAAGGATACTGTGGCCTGAAGTAGGATCGCATCACAAAGCCATGGCCTGTCTTTTCTCTGTGATCTTGTGTCTGGGGGACTGGGCGACTCCACCTTCTGTGAGTTCTGTATCAGGAAAAGACAGAATTTGAAAATGGAAAGAGGAGATGATTGAAATAATCACTGGAAAGAGAAAACACAGAGAGAGCTTGGTGTTCTCAGGACTTACAATTGTACTTTATGTAACAATTATGCCCCCAGGAGACAGAGGGTTTCGCTCAGCAGAGGAGCCCGGAGCCCATGGCAGGGTCAGGGCAGCAGTGGGAGGTTGACCAGCTCAGGGTCCTTGTAAGCATGAGCAGAGGAGGAGGGGCGTCCTTGTCCCCACTGGCAATTCCCATGGTGACATCACCGTCTCGCAAATGCCCATAGTCTTAGAAACCAACTGTTATTGACTAAAACATATCTAGAAGTTTGTTGAACATGTTCATAGACTGTATGTGAATTCATCCAACTGTTCCCACGCATGGCTCCAGGGCTGAGCGATTGGATCTCCCATCACCACCTTCTAACTCTCTGCTGGATGTTTCTACTTGGATGTGTCAAAGGTGACTCATGTTTGAAATATCAGTTAATAACCTTTTTGTGTTATCTGTAATTATCCTTTTCTTTGGAGGTGTCTCTTTTACCAGGTTCTCTATTTTCCCAATCAGATGAGCTTAGACAAGGTAAAGCCAGGGTAATTGCCACCGCTTTATCCTAGAAGCACAGTGAACTAACTGACACAATTGAAGGTAGAGAGATAAAATGATGCCCTGAGTGTAGATGTGAGTTGGAAGCTTTTATTCTGTCTGAAGGTCAAAGACTAGTTTCCTCTTTGCTTTCACTCATCTCCATGAAGCATTCAGAGAACTCTCTTATCCCTGAAAATACCAGGATGGATACAGTAACAGTAAATACAAAATTGAATCTTCTGGAATCTTAAAAAACATAGCATAACATACACTTGAATTGCACTGGTTAGTATCCGACTTTTTTTTTTAACAGGGCAACATTTGTTCTGAAACATTTCTTTTCATTGTCTGAGTGGTGAGGTAGAAAGGGTTAGAGGACTGGAGAAGGCCCCAAGAGTTGGTGTGAAACAAGAAAACAGGAAATGTGTGTCAGAGAGGTGGAAACAGGAGAGTCGTGTTCTCAGAGATAATCTTCTGAGTACCCACAACCTAGGGCTTACATGCCAACGCTATCAAGTTAAGACCCACAGATGTAGAACTATCAGAGCCATCAATTTCCCTCGTAAATTCTCTATTATTGAGATAGAAAAGCTGCTGGTCTGAGTCCAACTTATGTTGGTACCAGTTAATCATCCCATGATGGGAAGTTTCTTCACATTGAGGTGTCACTACTTGTCCCATTCTTGTGCCCAGGGATTAAAAGTTCTGAGTGATGGCAGCGTTCAGGGTGGCAGGACACAGGGCTGATCAGGCTACATACAAAATGCTTGCAATTGAGGCTTGCCCATTCCAGGGAAGAAATCCCTGC